TGGCTCCCATTTTGCCTGAAGGGAACACACTCAAGATGCACTTCCAGGAGTCAAGGAGGTGGAAGAGCATTTGTCTGGGAATTCTGTGATGGAAGGGAAGCCAGAGCATGGCTCAGCCACTTTTGACAAAGCTCCTCCACCTGCTCAGGTGCTGGGAGGCTCCTGGGATCCAAGCTGTACCTAAAGCTGGGCACCTGAGCAGCCACACAGGGGCACACAGCAGCAGCAGGCAGCTCCAGGGCACTGGCAAAGCCAAGCTGATTCCTTTGAACATGAAAAAAATAGCAGCCAACAAGCAGTAAACATGAAATGCAAGTAGCCAGAGATGCCAGTGAGCTCCTGGTCCTGCTCTGCAGCTGTCCCTCATCCTTCCCTCTGCTGCAGCTCCAAGGTTTTACCCCAGACAAGTGGCACAGCCTTCACTAGCAGCACAGGAGGGCCAGGACACTCACCCACCCTAAATCCTGGCTGAGGCACACTGCCAAGGGCTCCTGAAAACCAGAATCTCACACAGTCCCCTCTGGGGACATGTTTTCTAATCCCAGCACTTATCCTTGATATTCAAAGATAGCTGATATGAAATTCCTCTGCTTCCCCCCAGAAGAGAAGCTTTAAATTCCTCAGCAAGAAAAAATAAGGGCTTCCTCTTATTGAAATTTAGACAGGGACAGACCCAGGTTTGGGAGCAGTAAAGGAGCTCCAGTGCAAGAGGAAGAACCTGAGTGTTTCCACCAAGGCCAGACTGAAGGAATTTCACTAAAAACCAGACAGTGAACAGAGAGAGGAGCTGCTGCTGCCCAGTCCCTGTGCTTGTTGGACAGGTTCCTGATGAAGGAACATTTTGAAGGCCTCCATTCCTGATCCATGCCACCAAGCAGATGAATTACAGCAGGGGGAATGGCTCATGAGCTCCATGAGCATCATCCCTCCAGGAGGGAAACTGCAGCAGGCACATGCAGACTCCTGTGGGCCTGACTCATGCTCTTACAGCACTGAAATAAAGGGTAATTTCATCAGTAGAACATTGTTATGAAGAATTCCAGTTGGCATGAATCAAAGCATGATTGTTTCAAGGACAGATTCTAATTCCAGGCAGAATTCCTTCCTTCCTTCCTCCTACAACTGCCATTTAAAGGAATTTTTTAAACCCCCCAAAAACACCCAAACAAAAAAAAAACCAACAAGAAAAAAAACCAACAAGAAATAAAAAAAAAAAAACAAACCAACAAAAAACCAAAACCAAACTAAGTAAAAGGAAGGACTTTTTCAAAAATAGCTGTAATTAAGTTTGCAGCATTAAGTGCGTCAGTTGTGACAGACTTCAAGGCATGAATTTAAAAAAAAAATACCAAAACAAGCCAAAAACCACAACAGACAAATCCATGTCAGATGGGCTCACATATTTAATAACTGGTGGCCAAAGCACAACCTTCAAGAAGATCTTGGAATACAGGACAGGTGGATCCATGCTGGGAAACCTGAACAGGAAAAGCACCAGTTTTCCTTTGGCTTATTTTTCCCCTCCCTTCTTCCAGTCTCTCTTATTGGTCACCATCAGAAGTGAGTTACAGGGCTGCCACTCCTTCAGAATTCCTTTATCTGAACAGCCCTGAAGTGTGTTCTTTCAAAAAAAGTTTTTTCTTATTTTTGGGGGCTTCAAAATTCCTTTGCCCTCATCTAGCTGTAACTCCAGACTGATCAAAGACTCTCAAGGCAGAGTATTTCCCAAACCAATACTGCAAGTCCTGTTTCAACACCTGCAATTAGTCTTTCTAGACTTACTGGGAAAGAAATAAGGAAGGAGGTTTGGAGTCTGGCCTAGTTATTGAGCAGAGGTAGAAGTTAATAAAGATAGAAGCAGTTCAGTCAGCTTATTTTAAATAATTTTAGTAAACTATCCCTTTAAAGCTTTGTCTGTGCTCTCAATCTTAACATGAGATTGAGAATCCTGAGTATTTTTAAAGCAACATGTGAATTCCTTGTGCTCTGCAATTAATTAGCCATGCTTAGCCCAGCTGCACCACACCCAGAGATAATTCAACTGAAAGAACATTTAATAAATAAAGGAGCATGAAGGGAAGTCAGGCTTCTGCTCATTGCATTCTTCTAATTTTAATCTACCAGGCTTAACCCAAAAGCTGGCCTGTAATGGGCAATTCCAGCATTGCCACTCCAGTGAAAAGCAGCAAATCTCTCCCCATCACTAACTGAAAAAAAATTTTTAGCAGAGATCTGTCACCATATTCTACATCTTATATTTTCAAGAGGCTTTGCAGTGTCAGTCACTTGTTACATTTTTGTTGCTGCTGGTCAAATTGTCAAAAAGATATTGATCCCTTGGCTTAAGCAGTTGTTTGTTCTGTTCACGTGCTGAAATGCAGCAGGGAGTAAGAAGATGCCAGTTTTTAAAACACCACTGAGCACAGCTGAAGTTTGTTTTACTGACCTCAAAATGTACGTTAGCAGGAGGCCAAACAGTGGTGAAAGACAAATATACCCAAACAAATTTACTAGTTAAGCAAGAGATTCCTCAATGATACAGGCAGAAACTTTTCTGAACTCCTCTTTTCTGTTTTACTACCCCAGTGACACTGCTTTCAAAAGCTTTTTCCAGGCAGTATTGAGTGCTAAGTGTCAGGCAGAAGGTAACTTCCTATGGCACTGGGAGCTGCCAGTTCTTCACATCACAGAAAGACACAACTCTTGGGAAGAGTCTTCAGCTGCTCCCAGATGGATCAGGAGCTCTCATTTCTCTGAGCAGTCTGCCTTACCACTCACTGTTCTCATTTCCCTGTCCTAAAAACCTCCTCAAGTTGTAAAACTCTCACCAGTGACTCTCCCTGAAAGAATTGAGAACTTTAGGCCTCTATATGCATCAGAATAATGCTCTCATAGAGGTAATCCCTCATCTGAAGGCCAGAGGCTGAGGTTTTGTGTTTCATATTTCAATTTAACCATGTAGTGGTTAGAACCAACAAAGCTGGGACTTCCATTCCAGGCAGGGAAAAAAATCTACAGTTGGAACTATTTCACATTTCAGAGCAAATTAATTCTAAAGGACTTCCAATACCTGAGCATGTTGCATATGCTGTGTGAAATTTCAGGTGAGACTTGTGTTTTCTGCACAGAACCAAGCCCTGTGCTGCAGCAGTGGCACTGATCCTCTTAATTAACTTGATTAACTTCCAGCCTGTAACTCACCTGCAGGGCGTGCTTGCTGGCACAGTAGCCAGTGGCAAGAGGGGCTCCCATGATGCCCATCACACTGCTGACAGTGACAATCTTCCCCTTCTTCCTCTGGATCATGTGGTTCAGGACATACTTTGTCAGGGAGATGGTGCCCAGGTAGTTGAGCTCAATGATGGCATTGTAGACGTCCAGGTTGGTGTCCACGAACAAGGAGCGCTGCGAGCGCCCACCATTGTTCACCAGAACATCAATCTTCAGAGAGACAGGAAGATAAATTAATACAAACAAAATCTCCCTTTAATATTTGTGCTTCCTCAGGCAATTCAGTTCAGTTTAGCCCTTGGGAAGGAGCAGTGATTATTTGTTTGTTGATGAAAACCAGAAGCAAGCAACAGAAGGGAGAAAAATGCAGGCACGTTTTGGTAAGTTTAATATTGAAGCTGAAGGAAGGCGTAGACACTTCTGAATTTATCATACAGTAAAATAAAAGTGAAATATGAGCATAAATGCAGGTCTAGGAGACAAAGAAATAAAAGTTTAACCCCAGAAGCACACCTTACCTTGCCAAAGTGCTTGAGCACACTGTTGGTTGCAGCCTCATGAGAGGATCTGTCAGTCAGGTCGAGACGCAGAACGAGGATATCATTGTCACTCAGGCTGCTAATCTCTAAAAAACAACCATAAGGCAATGGGAGCTGATGAGATTCCCAAAGTCAGAACTGTGGGAAACATAACATGCTTTTAAACACCACATTTTCACAAAGACAACATCAAGAAACCATAACATCAAGTTGGAAATAAAATGCTTGCTTTGTTTTCATTTTGACCCCACACAGAATCTATTTTTAATCTGTTCCTACCAAGTGTGTTTCTCACTATGTTTTTGTATGTGAAAAGCCTGACTTTATAAACAGGCTTTGCAGCACAATACAGAAGTTTCACTTCTCCAAATAGATTGCAGTAGTTAGGAGTAAAATCCAGCTGAAACTTTTCACTGAGGGATTCAGAATCACATTGGGAGCCCTGACACTTTGCTTGGATGTCAACAGGTCAAGCATGTTTATTCCTGACAACAGGACTTGTACAATTCACACCCAAAACACAACATACATACCTGAGCAGCTATGAGGCAAAGTCTATAGAAGCTGAATTTTGGGGATTTTTTGGGAAGAGATAAAAGGCTTTTGTTTAACTGACAGCTTTTAACATATCCATGCCCTGAAATAAAAGTCAGCTGCCATCAAATTCCAGCCTTTTTGTCACGTTTTCCCCCCACTGTCTCTTCAGAACAACTGACCTTTTCCATAGAAGGCATTTCTTGAGCAGTGATTTGTTACCCTGGGGTTTTGGGGCAGATGACTCACAAAAACAAAATCTTCAGCATTTCAAGCTTTTTGAAAACTACATCTAACAAGAGTTTTTACATGATTTCTATCAGTTTGTCAGTGCTATTTTTTCCCCTGAATGGTTTCCTAGCCACATCTAGGTGTGGTTGCCCCCCCCTCCAGAGAGCCCCAGGCTTTGAGTTTTTAATTACTACTGCTTGCAAATATAGAGCAAGTTGAACTTTGTCTTAACAGTGATATAGAAATAAAGAGGTTACTTAAACCCACGAGTTGCCTCTGTTCAAAGGTCATTAGTATTTAACCCACTGGTTAAATAAATAAATAATAAACCAAACTGTCTGGTTTCATGCTAGCAGTGTTTCCATTTATTGCTCCCTCCAGCTGCTCCATGTGCATTTTCTCCTCCATTTCTTCCAGAAATGCAGCAGTAAAATGTAGTTTAAGCTGCCCTCTCAGGGGCACACCTCTGCCTGTGCTGGTTTGCACAGCTGGTACCTGTTGGGGTGTGGATGTTTCTGCCATGGGTTAACAAGACCACAGGGCCAGCCCAGCCATGAAAGCTACACAGGGGAGAAAGGAAAGAGCAGAGCAAGAGGCACAGGCTTCTGGTGAGGAAGGAAGTGCTCTTTTATAAGATGTAAGAAACATCTGACATCAGGAAACTCTAAACCAGAAACCTTGTACAGGATTTCCACATTCAAACTGTGCATTTCCAGCAGCTTCCTTGGTTCTTGTCTAGGGTGAGGGGTCCTCACTTCAGGGAGTCCTCAGACAGCTTTTACAAAAATCAAACACTCCTGTTACTCTTTTCTGAACCCCTTCTCCCATTCACTATCCCTTTTTTTTTTAATTATTATTTTTTATTATTACTTTTTGGCTGATGACCAGCCTTGTGCCTGGTGCAGAAGACACATAGATGTCCCAATTTCTGCACTGCTAGAATGGAGTTCCTCACTGCTTTTACCTACAAACCCTAATATCCCACTGCCCCTTTTTCTACTCTACTACCAAAGTGAGATTTTTAAGGGAACAATTATGATATCCAGAAAAAACACTTGGTCCCAAGTGGGAGACCTTAGTTTGAAGCTCATTGCTTGGATTTCAGATTAACAACTCTTTTCCACACATGGTAACCCCAGGTAGCAGTTTCTCCTAACATGATAAACACCACAGCTCAAAGTAGTATTTTCCAGCTCTTCTGCATTTCCTCTTCTTTCTTTTCTTCCTCCCTTGCATAAATGCCCTTCAACAGAGGTTGGGCTCTCAGCAGAGGCTGATCAATGTGACCTCCTGGGGTCCATTTCAACCTCAATTACTGTATAATTCTTGAATTTATAGGTTGCCTGTCACTCATTTGGCCTATCCATAATTAAATCATATTTGACCTTTGCCAAACAGAGAAACACCCCCTCCTACTTTTCTTTTTAGGGTTTTTGAGAGAAAACAGCCTCCTTCATTTCTGAGAAAAGAAAGAGAAAGAGTGGTTGGGGGAAATAGAGAAGCCTCTTGCAGGAGCTGAGTTATACAAGTTGTTTTCTCTCCCTCCTGACCAAGTGCAGTGAAGTGTTGAATTGGCATATGCATGACTCAACAGGGATTACCTCTCCCTCTCTCTCTCCCTCAGCTTTTAAGCAGTGTAGAATGCACAAACCTGTACCACAGGGTGGTGTCACTAAACTTTGAACAAGATCTATGTGCTTGTTTCTGACACAGCTCAGTTGCTGCAGTGTTCAGCAGGCGTGTTGCAGCACATGAGCCCCAGTGATGCCCCATAAATCAGCCAAACTCACACTGGTGTTGCACATTGCTGCTCAGGCTTCATCCACCCCACTCACACCTCACAAGACAGTCCTGCACTCTGCTGCCAGGAGAAAACATGCAGGTTTCTGGAAGCAGGCACAGGCCACCCAGGAAGCACATGGGCAAGCATGCAGAGATGGAATCAGGGAGATCAGCACCCAGGTGGAGCTGAAAGTGAAATTTCCACTGGAAAGGCAGCAAAGGCTTCTCAGGTGCAGCAGCAACAAAAGGGAGGCCAAAGACAGGGTGAGCTCACTGCTGGACAGGGATGGTGAGGAAGAAATGCTGAAATGCACAGAAAAACCTGAGGTACTCAAGGCCTTCTTTGCCCCAGTCTTCTCTGGCAAGATCTCCTCTCAGGTCTCCCACACTCCTGAGGCTGGGAAAGAAACACTACCAGAGTCAGACAAATCAGGGACAAAATGCATCTACAAGCAGGGCAAAATATGCATCTGTGATTTACAAGAGCTGACCAATTTCATTCCTTTTTGGAATTTTCTTCTCCCCAGGGACAGCAAGAAAACCAATGTCACAAAGCCCAACCTCAGTCTTTGGAAAAATGACAAAATGGCAATTCCTCCTGAAAGCAATTTCCAAGGAAGTGGAGGACAAGAAGTTGTGTGAGAAAAGCTACCACGGATTTAGCATGGCCAACTCAATTGCTTTTTGTGATCAGCTGTGCCATCCCTCCATGATCAATATATCTGACTATCTTCATTAATGACCCAGATGATGGGAAAAAAACACAGATTTTCATAAAATTTTGATTTAACATCAAGTTCAGAGGAGCAGTCCTGCTGCAGGGCTGGATTGCCATGCAGAGACACCTTAACAAGTTCAAAGTACAGTTTGACAAACCTCATTAAGCTCCATTAATTAAAAGGCAGATTTTCACACCTATGACAGGACATAGAAGCTGGCTGTAGAAAACATGAACTATCATAGAATAGTCTAGGCTGGAAGGGACCTTAAATGTCACTCCTGCCATGGAGGGACACCTTCCACTAGACCAGGCTGCTCAAAGACTCATCCAGCCTGGCCTTGGATGCTTCCAGGGATGGCACAGCCACTCTGGGTAACCTGTCCCAGGGCCTCACCAGCCTTAAAAGCAAAAATTTCTACCAAATATCTAATCCAAACCTGGTTTCTGCCAGTTTAAAGGCACTCCCCCTTGTCCTGTCACTTCCTGCCCTGGTTATGTTTCTGTGTCACTAAAGAGTTTCCAATATTCCTACAAATCAGACCTTCAGTTAAAGCAAAGTTCATGAGCAAACATTTGCCAAGTACAGGGCTACATAAGAATTCCAAGGATGTGCATGGCACAGCTCAGACATTCAGAGGGACAGTGGAAGTTGGCAGAGGCAGAAATCTGTCACTATAGGACACAAAATAACAAGATGCACACACACAGCTCTCAAAGGTAGAAAGAGCACTTTTAATTTCTGACTCCAACATTTATAGATTTCCAAAAGTGACAGTGGATTGGAGGGTGACAGTGCCACCTCTCCAATGACACTGGACAAACCAACAGTCCATCAAATTTCTCCTCCTCCATAAAAGAATGCAAAACAATAAGTTATCTAACAAAAAAAAAAAAGTTATTTAACAAAACAATATTAAGTTATTTACATAAAGTGTGTGAGAAAGTTCGTTACAAGAATGTAAACATCAGAAGGCTTAGAAAAACTTAAAAAATCAGGGCAACAGAAATCATCTCAGATAAATCAATGCTCTTGGCCCACATGACTTGAAATAATATTTCTGAATATTCCTTAGCACATCCCACAGGTATTTCCTGAAGGTGCCCATCCAGGATTGCAGCTGCTGCCAGCCTGTCTCGTGTCATCAATTTTGCAATCACAACAAACAGCCGCGGACGCAAACGGTGTTGCAGATTTCTGCTGACCATTGCATCACACAGCACTGGCATTTTGTCACAATTGCTACTTCACCACACTGTCATCAATGTCCCTGCCTCTTTTTAAATATCAGACTCTTCAGGTGACTGCTTTTTGGAGCCTTCAGAAAATAAACCAGGATAAAAGGAGTTTATTTTTGAAAGTTCCTTGAAAGCTTTTCTGAGTAGGCTGCTGCAACTTTCAGCTTTCTAGACATGTCTAGGTGCTAATCCAAGAAAAACATCTGATTATTCTCTAGCACACATTCCAAGTAGACTGTGGACATTCTGTCAACATTGCTAAGACTGAACTCTTGGTGTGATAACACATTCCACGTAAAATACTCCATCCCGAGCTATAGAGGATAAATAGTCTGAAAAAATGCATAATGTTAATCATGTTCAAACCCTCCATCTATCAGTGTGAATTAACTGCCTATTCCTCCTGCTGCCAAGCCAGAAAACAGGAGGGAAAAAGAGAAACAGGAGGAGTGAAGCCAGACCACTGAGTCATCAGGCATATGAAAGCTAACTGGAAGATAACTGGAATAGTTAAAAATTTTGCTCCAGATTTTTTTTTCTCTTGATTACTGGAGATCCTCCTTCTTCCACATTTTTAGAACAACTTTTTCTGAACATTTTTATTAGTCTTTTCCAAGAGTAAAGTCAGTTTTCTCTCTGCCTGTAACATGAACAAACCTGAAGAAGGAGTATTTCTTAGCTGCAAGCAGCTAGGTGGTTTGGTTTTTTACAGGATGATACCTCTGGGATTGTTTCCTCCAGTCCCCACAGTATTTATTCCATTTCTTAATCCAGTATCTTACAAGAGTGTCACAGACATCTTTTATGAAAAATCCTTTCCTTGGGATTTTTCCTCCAAAAAGCTGAGAGGCCTCAAGAATAAAATGTAAACAATGATTATCTGCTGCTGTGGAATGCAACAGGTGCATCTGTGATTGGCCCATGTTGGATGTTTCTAATTAATGGCCAATCACAGTCAGCTGGTTTGGACAGAGTGTGAGACACAAGCCTTTGTTATCATTCTTTGCTATTCTATTCTTAGCCAGCCTTCTGAGGAAATCCTTTCTGCTATTCTTTTAGTATAGTTTTAATGTAATATATATCATAAAATAATAAATCAAGCCTTCAGAAACATGGAGTCAGATCCTTGTCTCTTCCCTCAACCTAAAACCCCTGTGAACATGAACAAGAGCACTTGCAACTGATAATGAGATTTTTAGGTAACAGTGGCTTATGTAGGAAGTTGAAATGCATATCTGTACAAAGGCTTCTCATGCTACAAAAAGAAGGTACCAGCTCTGTATAAAGGCGACTTTCCTCATTAAATTTATTCTGGTGATATGTGGGTTAGTGCTCCTGTGGCAATTCCAGCCCAGCCAAGGTGGAACTGCTGGCATGGAGTGCCAGGTTGTACTTACGAAGGCATTTCTTTTTCACTCTCTGCAGCTCATCCTCCCTCCTGGCAGAGATGGCAAGCAGGGCTCCCAGCTTTGCCAGCTGGTAGGACAGCTCTTCTCCGATGCCACTCGAGGCTCCTGTCACCCAGACAACCTTGCCACGCAGCTCATGTTCTAGCAAAAGAACCAAGACAGCAGTTCACACATTGCCAATGCCAGGATAAGCAGCTAACTCACTGCAGGGGTGGAATCTGGTGCTGTTTTTAAGAAATAAGCTCATTTTGGATGGTATTACAAAATCCTGACTTCTTCTAGTCACACGCAGTTGTGAAATTGTTCATAGTTGTTCTGTTGCCATTTGAACTTTGTTCCAAGGCTGATCTGAATAAACATGGGTTATTTACCTGAGGGAAGGAATCTGATTGCATTTCTGCAGCCCATCCACACATAACAGGTCCACTAACCTCATCAAAAACAGTTTCAGAGGAAAAGGGGAGAGAAAATTCTTGGAACTGACAGGAAACAGTTACTGTACTGCAAATACAAACAAAAGCCTAAGCAAGTCTTTCCAAATAATGTTTCATCCCAAAAAATGTTCCAGGGTAATTGCTGACTGAGTAAAATTCTCTGAACAGAAGGACAGCTAATCACAAAAAATGGGTTTCTATCCTCTTTGTTTAGGATCTGATGCAGGTTAGCTCCTGCACTGGCCAGGGCACATACACAGAGTTCCCAAGGTGTCAATTCACACGTGGATTCCCCAGCTCCTGCCCTGACATGCTTTTTTAACCTGCAGTAAAATTAAGAGCATCCTGCTCTGTTTACAGCTCTGCTGATAATGCCTGTTCCCACTTGTCCACAACCATCCGTGGTATACCTGGGCACTGGGAAAAGCCTTTGCTTTCCAGGCATATATCCAAAATCATCCAATTCCACAGATGGCTGAAAAACCACCCAGTTAATTCCAGAACATGATTTAGGGATGAAAGATCACAAATGTCAGAGCACCTTCCAGAAGGAATCATTGCCTGACACGTGTCTGTGTTCCTCAAGACCAGCCACAGTGAATATCAGTCTTGGGGAAAATCTGACTCACTCAGAGCTCTGCTGACAGGAGCTCTTCCCTCTGTTCCTCCAGTTTGTGCATTCCAACATCTAGCCAACCAAGGAAGACTTCAAGGCATAATTCAAATATCAGAGCCAAATGCAGTTCCTGAGACTTAAAGGCAGTTCCAGTCTGAAAAGGCTCAGAGTAGCTTTTTTCAGCTCACTGAAATTTAACCACTAATTTAATTTAGAAAAAAATATTCTTCTTCCACTGTGGCTGAGACTGCTTTTGCTTCCTGCTCTCACCAGCAATCAGCTCCTGGTTCTCTCTACACCACACTGTGTTTCAAATTTCTACTTTTGGGGTCCTAATGGCACAAATCCCACAGAGACCAGCACCAAAACCCTTCACCCTTCAGACAAAAGCAGTGAGCACTCAAGACTGACTGTCAGAGCTCAGCTTGACTTTGTGGGGCTGGCAGTAAGTATTATTTGTCTTTTCTTAAGCTGACTGCATTTCAGCCAAAAAAAATCCCTCCTAAACCCAGGCTTTTGTGGCTTGGGCTTGTTTGGAGTTTCTTGTTTCTAAAAACACTAACAACAGCAACAGGAGTCACTTCCCAAGGGAGAGATGTATTCCAAGGTTATGAATTAGGGATGTGGAAAGAGATTCTGTTGAAGCTGCAGAAATATTCACTGTGTTCATCATTAGAACAAATGGCTGCTGTCTGTAAAGCTTATTCACACCCTTTCCCTACAGTTTTATTCCAACACATTCCCAGTTTATTGAATTAAACACAAACTTGTGAGTTTGCCACTCCTACAACATTTTTTTTTCCTGAAAACCCAGGCAGACAAACACTACACAAACAAAACAACATAAATGTAACTTCAAAACAACACATGAATGTCATTTCAGCCCTGCTTACCACACTCACTCCTCTTGCTACTGAAAACAAATGGGCTTCCTCCTCCTACCACTGAGTTTCCCTGTTCCCAACCTGTCTTGGGCAGCTTCTCAGCAGTTATTCAGGATCTTGTTCTGTGAACAGAATAAGTAACTGAGATAAGGAGAGTTTTCCCACCAACTCCCCAGAGCTGCTAAGAGTTAACACAATGGGAAACCTCAAATGCTGGTGGTGCAGAACAAGCACCAAACCATCAACTTTGCTCCAGAATAAATGTCCTGTTGTTGCTGGAAAGAAGTTTAAAAATTAACCATGCAAAAATTAAAAAATAAAAGCAGATTATGCCATTCCTAACCATTAACTACTGTGCTACAAGGCATAACAAATGAGAGGCTGAACTGACCAGCACTGCAAGTAACCCAAAAAGTTGGTTTGTAATTCTGCTTAAGAGTTTTTTCCAACATTTCATAGCTCAGAGCCCTAAAGAATCACACCATTACTCCTAAATTTAAGAGCAGGGCATTCATACATGGAAGGTTCCCCCTTAGCTTGATAACATCAAGCTGCCTGTGAAAAGCACTGGGTTTAGGGTGACTTCTGTGCACCCAGAAAAGCACAACACAGAAGGAAAGGCATCCAGCACCCAAAAATCCTTCTGTCCTGGTCACACACATATTCAGAGGATGGGAAGCAATCCAGCACCTGCCAATGAATACATCCAAAAGTCAAATTTCCCTATAGAATTCAATCACTGGATTGGAACAAGTCTTTCCTATATTAAGGCATTTCTTTGTAATTATAGTTTATGGCACAAGAAACACAGGAGATCAGTCCACCTTCTTCCAAATATCTTCATCTCCAAAAACTTCAACACCCATAATAATATTATTGGAGTTATAACACAAAATAATGACTGCAAGAGTGATGGTTCCAACAACACATTTAATTAAAAATTAAGGGGTCCACTCATTATTTACCTAGGCATCCTACATTACATGCACAATATGGGGAGAAGTTATTTAATGAAACATCTTTCCTATGTTTGTCTCTTCTGTTTTCCTGCCTGGTTTGTTAAATTGTACTATTTCAGTTAAATATTTCACTTAATAGCAAGCACAGAGGCTGGGGGGAAAGAGGAGGTGGCCAAAACACAGCTGACCTATTATGTTGATGAATTTTTTGCCTGATTCTTTTTTGTATTACATCTCTAAACAACCCCATCATAAAATTACACTACACTGGTCTTTGCATGTGAATTTTTAGACTACTTAAAGGGTTTCTAGGCCTTCAATAATTCTGAAGGCTACATTCAAATAACACTTTGTATGCCCAAGAGAGCTCCTACATCTTGATGCACATTGCACACAGGTCCCTGAGGACAAAACTTCAATTCTGCTTGTATTAGTCAAGATTTATCTCACTTCTCTGCCCTGATTCTTTCCATGCTCTTTACAAAGTCCACACACTGAGATTTTTTTGCAGTTTTCTTACAGTAAGGGAATGTTCTGATGGAGTTGATAAAAACTTTGGCTGAGTACCTAAACAGCTATGAGAGATTGCTCACACTGGTTTAAATGCAGTATTTTCTAGAGCTGCATTACTTGTGCTAGTCCATCTAATGGAGAACAGAAAAGGACGCACACTTGTGGGAAACTTCTGCTGAGAGCAGGAGACAAGGATGTCTCAAGTTTGTCCTACTCTTCTCTCCAGCTGTTCCTCACACCAAACTTCACCTGCAGCACCATCCCCTGAGGAATCACAGTCCCAAGCTCAAACCTTCACCCCACCACTCCTGGTCCACCTTCATTCCATGTAGTTCCTTCTCCCTATCTAAATCCTACAGCCCATTTCAATTCCCACATGGGATATTCAATTTCAATTCCCACATGGGATCTCTTACAGTGCCTCTCATCCCACCTTCTGTCCCCAGTCTCCACCTCTACCTAAAGCACCCACAACCAGCAGTCCACAAATCACTCCAGCAGGCTAAACTAAGGGGGGATATTCACAAATTTGTGCCTTTTCTGACCAAAAGCCTCTATTAAGCATGATTTCCAGGTTTCTGATTTCTAGATTTCTAGGTCCAGAAATAGGGAGAATCACTGTCAGAATAGAAAGTTCAACAGGAGCAAGAACTGGAAGTGTCTATCTGACAGCGTTTCATTGAACTTTTGTCCCCCAGGTGACCACGGCAGCACCTTTCAGAGATGCAGGGACTGTCCCCATCAGCATCTCCTGCCGGGGCTGCTCCCTGGAGCCGATCAGAGCACAATGCACGGAACAGGAAACCCTGTCAGCCCCAGCATTAACAATACTCATGTCTGCTTCACTGCCGACAGCCCTGTGAATGCAATATCAGCTTGGAGATGGCAGAACAGGCTGGAGCAGCAGCTGAACAGGCTCCAAAGCCACTCGTCCCGGCCACAGGAGCCAGGCATCCCTGTCCCTTCCCGAGCCTTCCTCCCGCACTGTCCCTGTGCTCAGCTGCCCCGTGGGGCCCTGCCAGGACCGGGAACCTGCCCAGAAAC